TGAAAAACATCCATTGAATGAATAGCATGTGGATTCTCACCAGTTCTATGTTATAGTTTTTATTGTTTTATGGTTAGCTCACTTCTCAACTCTGCCAGGGTTTACGCCGGGCCACGAGGGACCCAGCACCCATGCCTTCAGCTCCAGTGCTTGACTGACTTGATCATGGGATTTCTCTACCCACATGACCCAATAGGTGTTCAGTAAGCACCTTGAGTTCTTCTACTACACAACCCTCAAGGCTTCCAGCCTGACGTGGCTCTTGCTAAGTTGACGAAGGGGCCCATGGTCCTCCATACCTCACCCATTTCCTCACTAGGGTTAAAGGTTCTCAATGAATGTATAGTTTACATTTGTAACTGTGTAACAGAGATGGTTAACTGCTGTGTATACAATATTCTTCCTTATCAATGCAACTGGATCTTAGCTCTACGCCTTTGGAAAATGTACAATAAAATGTTTCTTATAAGGAAAAAAAACACCCAAAACTTGGAACATTAGCTATACAAAGTACTAAAAACACAAGCCAGTAATAACAGCCCCTAAAAGTGTTCTATGGAGCAATCTGTGCGAAGCCAGTAAATCTGGAAGTTTCTTTTGGCCAAGCTGAAACAAAGCAGAGGCGGCTCTATGGCAGAAAAGGTCGGGAAATATCTCACATGCTAAAGAGTTTTGTTCAGGGGAGCTTTTAAAGATGGCCGTCAAGGACAAGGGGCAGCCTAGAAGCTGGTTTTAGAAGCGAGAAGGCTCTGCAGGGCTGGTGTGCGAGGGATTACAGGAAAAGACTGCAAAGGACTAACAAGACACAGGGCACAGGTGTCTGGCAAGGGGTCGGGTTAAGGAAGAAAAAGCATGTTGGAAGGCAGTGTCCTTATCCAAAAATCCAATGTTCCAAAATGTTGTTTAGGGAACGCAGATCCTAATTTTGCGGAAGGTTGACAACGTCAACTATAGACAAAACATTTCATTTAGTTTTCGATAGAGCGGGTAAGGGATACAGCCCCCGTCAGGCTTGTTTTGCCCCTCTGGGACTGTCAAAAGACGTGTTGGTAGAACACTGGACCCAAGCTTGAGATCCAACTCTTAGCTCTCTGAACCGGTGTATCCCTGAGGGTCCCCCGAGTAGACTGAAGAGTGTAAAAAGGACGAGAGGACCACAGATCTAAAGTGAGTCCAGGAAAACTTTATTTTTCATGACAAGAGGACAAAAAGCCAACGCATTCTATGGCGGCTTAACACTCTCCCTCCATCAGGGCTGGAATTCGGGTGGTGAGTCGACAAGATACTGGACAATAGTTGGAAATTAAATGGATCTTAGTTGCCGATAGTAAATATGGAGAATACTGGACAACAAATTGTAACACAAGGGTATAATCTGATGGTTCTCACAGAAAAGAAAACCGACACGCTTCTGGGGCTCAGAACTCCCACTTCCTCAGGGATTGTATGCTGGAAAGGGGTTGATAACACTGGACAACAACTGCAACATATAAGGATCAGATTATGCGGACTGAGCCCCTGAAATGGGTTGGCTCTCATTTCTCTGACCTCTTGTCATAAAAAATAAAGATTTATTGGACTCACTTTAGATCTGTGGCGCTCATCATCTCACTCTTTTGGGGTTGTCAGGACAGGAAATGATAGGAAATCCCTCCGACAGGGACACGAAGAGGGGAAGGGTTTGAACATCAGACAAGGTATGTATTGATGTCCATGCCTTCCCGTCCTGATGATACCCACAACCTCCCCCCCTGTTCTATCAAATTTGA